TTTCTGTTTTTTTTGTTGGTTACTGGTATGTATGGGGTGGGGTGAGGGGGAGATAGGGAAAAGTGGAGCACAGGGTAGGGAATAGACACAGGACAGTGGAACACAGGGTATGGAATAGACATAGGATAGTTTGGTGTTGGGGGGATGCAATACACTAGAAGGGGAAGGGGAAAGGAAAAATACGGATAGGAGAGCAGCTATGGGCTAAATGGGACAGAGGTTAATAATGATCTAAGCACAAACGTCGAACAACAGGGCCCATGGATACAAAGATTGAGGCATGCTTTGAATGGGTAAAAGTGGGGAAATGATGTTAAGATGCTTGGCTGTCTGTTGAATCTTGGTTTTCCTTGCCTATGATTGTAAAACAGACACTTGAAGGGGAGTTAGAGGAATAGTCAGAAACATCACCAGAGAAAGCTTGTAAATCCGTCTTCAGTCTATGACTGTTTGGAACAACTGAAATGCGGCTAGAACTTGCCCAGTGAAGGAGGCTCCCTGCAGAGCCTTTGCACTGCACAAGACCATAGGTGGAATCCTGATCCTCATCCACAATCTTTTGAGGTGGGACATTCCCATGTGAAAGGACAAGCAGACCAGTCTGGAGCAGCTAGAAGAACAGGAGATATTTCTTGAAAGAAAGACCAGCAGAAAAAATCAAAAACAGTAACAGTAGTCCAACTGACTACTACAAGAACAAGCAAGTTTTTCCCAGGGAGCCATCAAGGCAAGTGGCCAGGTCCCCTCAAGGCAAACCCCCTTCCAAGACTGAAACTCATATGGAATACACTAGTAGGCATACGATCCTGCTGCTGACCACATTGGTGACTGGGTGACAGATATTGGGAAGTGGGGGGGGAGACAGCAACGAAGTTGTGATCTAATTCCGACCACGTTCAATAGACTCCTGTTAACCTGGATTCAGAGCTGGTTAACCAGCAGTATGACGAGATTTGGGGACTCCTGGGCCTACAGGCAGGGACATGGCTCCAGAGGATTAGAATGGAGTGTGAAGCATCCAGCTGATATAAAGGGGGGATGTACAAGAATACCCACACTTGCAGACAGTACCCATTTTCCTGGCATCAATGGCTCGATGATCAGAACATGACTAAAGAAAGAGGAAAAAAAAAAAGGAGTAACCCACTATAAGTGAATGAGCTTGACCTATGCTTGTGGATGCAGTACGACAAAGGAGCGAACAAATCTCTACAGTGAGGATCATTCCCACCCTCTTGGTACATAGGGTCGATAGAGAGGGGTAACTTAGACATTAGCTACCCAAAATGGGGGGACTACAAAGGCAAGAAGCGAATGGCTTACAAGCTTTCAATAGGGAACCTAGCTCCAGAGGATACAGGGAAAGGTAGAACCTCCACTGAATTGTTTCCAACCTGTCTGGATGGGGTTGATAAAAGGTGAGGGGGAAAGAACGCCTGTGGTTCAATAGGAAATGATTGCTATCAGGTCTGACAGTGAGTGTTGGAAAGGTAAAAGTAAATGTTTGGCAACAAAAGGAGGGGAGCGGCAAGGGAGAAAAGTGTACTGCAAGACCATATTCAGAGAGGCAGTTAAACTGGGATGGAGGCAGAGGAAATGACGTGGACAGAAGGAGGGCTAGGGATTCTGGACTCAGGGACTGGGATGGGTTTTGTGCTGGCGGCCAGGGAGCAGGAATGTGGGGTGGACCCTTTGGGTGTTTGATGATGCATGCAGGGGATTGTGATCATTACAATGAAACAAAGTATGATAGGAAGAATGTAAAGATAATGTTCACCCATGTAAACTAACAAGTAATTCACAATAAAAACGTTTAAAAAAAAAAAAGTATACACACATGATATGGCTTTTCTATCCAAAGTCTTAATTCCCAAGTGATTGGGAGAGACCATGCAAATAAGGTATGCAGGACTCTAAGGCTGGGATTAGTTAATTTGACACCAGCTAGGTTTAAAAGGAAGGAGCTCTGGTAGCATAGTGGTTACGAATCGGGCTGCGAACCTCAAGGTACACAGTTCGAAACTACCAGCTGTTCCACGGGAGAAAGATGAGGCTTTCTACTCCTGCAAAGATTCACAGCCTCGGAAACCCTGTTCAGGATCCCTATGGGTCAGAACCGACTCGACAGCACTTAACAGGTTTAAAGGAGCCATCTCAGGAGCAGAATAGATGATCCCAGGACCATCAAGAAGGAAGAGCATGAGTGAAGCTTGAGATCAGTACCTAAAACAGTGGGTGGCATAGAGCGACAGTGCAGTTTCAGGCTCTAGACATGTGGACTGAGTAAAACTCAGTGCTTATGGGCAGTAGACTAGCTTGAAGAATGTGTCCTTTGGACATTCACAGACTGGCTAAATGAGCTTTGTACCACTTGCTTTAGCAAGGCAGTGGTCAAGGGAACACACGTCTGAGAGGCCGAAGACAAGAGTGAGGCATGCCTGCAATATGGCAGACAAGAGGCACTCCTCACTGGAGAACTGCTGGGTCCTTGAGCAGTTTTGATCCTGAATTGTACCCTGTTCATGCCCCAAATTAAGCTCCACAATCGTACTGTTATGAGTTCTGTGTGGCCATTGCAATGGATTATCAAATCTAGATGTGAAGCAGAGTGCTTGGGGAGGAATGGTTGGTGTTGGAACGTGGTAAAGAAGGTTGATAGGGTGGAAGCATGTCTGACCTCTGCTTCATAGAATGGGCCTGGGCTGATTTTGAGTTTCTCTTTCCCCCTTGTGAAGCCTGGGGCTAAGTCAGACAAAGGCTCTCACAAGGTTTTTGCAGAGGGGGAAGGAGAGGGTAAATTAAGATTTCTCAAATTTCAAGTTTATATCTAGAATCCCATCATTTCTCACCACCTCTCCAGTGACTATTCTGGTCCATACCACTACCATCTCTCATGCGACTTTCAAAACTTCCACACTGGTCTCCCTGCTTCTGACTTTATCCCAGAATCTATTCTCAACACATTTAGATCATGCCACTTCTCTGCTCAAAATCTGCCAGTATTTTCCCATCTCATGCAGATTAAAAAACTAAAGCCCTTACAATGGTCTGCGTGGCCCTACACAGTCAGCCAGTCTCCTCACTTTCTCATCACTCTATTCCTTTTTCTGTTATTTGACTAGGCCGAAGCACTTGAAGTTCCCTTTGCCTCCTTATCTCCAAGGCTCACTGTCATCAGCTTTAAGTCTTGGCTCCAAAGTTACCTATCGGTAAGGCTTTCTCTGCCTAAAATCCATTACCATTCAGCTGATCCCAACTTATCAGCCCTACCTCTGACCTGGTTCTCCCTCTATCTTCTCCATTTTTCTCCATAGCATTATCACCACCCAACCTTCTATATATTTTGTTTATTTATTACCTATTTCCCTACTCGAATGTATGCTCCAAGAGAGCAAGTTTTATCTGTTTTGTTCAGTGGGTATGTGTGTGCAGCTTGTGTACTATACAAACCTAGGACACTTAGACAGTAGTTAATAGACTACAATGCCTGCTACATGCAGGTGCTCCATATTTACTGTTTGGCTATACGATCAGACAATCATTACATATGGGCAAGTTTTGGTATCAAATGTTATCAACTAGCAAAATGTAAAACTCTAAAAATACATTCTTCTTTAAAATATTTGTTCTGGTTCTGGAATAAGGTAAAATAAGTGACCCATGTGACTTTTCCCCTGCTGCTTCCTTTTCCTAGAACATCCTCTGCTTTTTCTCTGTACCCTTCAAGCCAGTTCAAGCTGCACTGTGTAATGAAGGAGTGCCTCACATTCTTCCCATGGAGGCTCTACTTCACAGCCCCTCGAATGTCCCACTTCTTAATGAGTAGGTCTCTCTCCCCTACTAGATTATAAATTCCTTGAAGACAGGGACTATTATTATATAAAATAGCATCCCAAGTATCTAAAATAGTGCTTGGCACATAATAGACATTTAAGAGATATTTGTAAAAAAAAAAAATTAACTACTTGAATACTATACAAAATAAACTTGTTAAACAATTTATAGTTTCATTTTAAATGCATCTACTTTTGGGGAAGGGGATTCATTTTTAGTGCTAATCTCTTATTACCCTCAAAGATATGCTCATTCTCTTACGGGCTTCCCACCTCCAGTAGCAAGTACTCCAGTTAAACTAGATTCAGAAAGTCTTTGACCCATATTTTGTGCTCCTGTGCTCTTTGCAGACACTGTTTCCTTTCTGGAATGTTTTACTCCTGTCTGTGGTAAATTTTTACTAATCCTCCAGGGTCTCATATGTCATTTCTCAGGAATACCATTCCTAGACCTACCCTGAGGTTTCTGTGTTCTAACTTTTTGTGTTCCAAGCATACTTTGCACATATCTGACAAGGTGAAATTAGCAATAACAGTTCATTCAGCAAACATTTGAGCACTTGCTTTCTGTCTGGCACTGCAATGAGCACCAAGTAATGAATGTGACAAACACAGACCTTATTATCTACAGAACAGAGAGACATTAAGGAAACAAAGCTGTGGTAACTGTTATAAAGGAGGGCAGGGAGTAGCAGGTGTTATGAGGTTATATACAGGGGAACCCCTTGGTTGGGATCAGGAAAGAAAAGCATGGGTAAAGGCTAAGACAAAAAGATGAACAGTACAGAGAAGCCTAGAGAGGTGGCTAGAACTTCAGGAGTGGATCATATCATTTAAAATTATAGCCCCCTTCCACCACAGTCTCCTTTCCCATCTCTTGGTCAAGTTGCTTGTACCCATAGTCCTTCTTCTCTAAGGTACCATACAATTTCACTATTATTTATGCCATCTCCTCCAACTAGAATTCATGTTAAGTATTCTTAAAACTAGAACAGTGACTAGCTTATAGTAGATTAGTATCTATCTGTTGAATAAATGAAGTAAGTATTAAGTTTGGTAAGCATTTAAGGGCAACAGGAAACCATTAAAGACTTCTTAGCTAGGGAGTAACAGATCACATTTGAGCTTTAGAAAAATCATGTTGGCTACTGAAGAGATACAGAATGGTCTAGAGGAGGAAGTCTAGTGCTGAAAAGTTCAGTTAATATCCTCCCATTAGAATGTGTGAGGAGACCAGAGTGGTGTAACTAGAGTAGTTACAGTGCAATCAGACAGAAATACAAGATTCAAGATATTTAGATGACAAAATCAACAGGACCTAGTGACTAAATTATAAGGGAGATGCAGGCTCTGTAGCCAGTTAAGATGAAGATTTGAATTACAGTTGTTACTCATGAACTTGGGCATGTGGCTTGGACCCTACAAACTTGTTTATCTGTACAATGACAATAATACCACCACTTCACAAGGGTACTGTCAAGCATTAAGTGAGCTGACACATGCATAAGGTTTCAGAGTGACTGGCACTAAGTATTATTTTTTTAAATGTCAGTTCACATTCCCCACAATATTTATTTATATGCTTAATTATGCTGTAAAGTTGGTTTGAACCCTAGAGATGGTGGTTCTAACTCATCAGCTGCCGCTCAGAAACCCTATATAGGGTCACTATGAGTCAGACCCGACTTGACAGCATTTAACAACAACAGTTTCACAGAGACATCCTTGATGGCTAGGATCACACATTATCAGCACACTATATCTAGCAGAGTGGGTGGAAGATAAGAATGAGACATTCGTTACTTCTGGCAAGATGGTGGACTAGGTTGATGCACTACATGAACCCTCTACAGCAAAGATACAAGAGATCACACAAAATGTACACAAAAGAAAATTCTGGCACCCTGAACTTCAGAAGAAAGGTTAGAGAGGTGGATGGAGTGCTTGCTGGGAGGAGAGGCATGCAAGGACAGTGAGAAAGGGAGACTGGTCAACGGCTGGCCAGGCACAGTCCCACCATCTTGTGAGCAGCTTTAGCAGCTGACGGAGGCCTGGCAGGGCAGATTGGCATGGGTGCCAGGAGAGGTATGATTTCTGTTTCTCTATGCTCCCCTGGTGACCAGAGGTGTGGCCAGCTCCCACCCTCATTTACCCCCAGCTCAGACCCTGCTCTCCATGTGAGGTGGGGCCCAGCTGTGCCACCTTTGGTTCCTGGATTCAGGTGAGCTCAGCTTCAGACCTACAAAACCCACAGAGCCACGAGACCAGCACTTAACCAGCCACCCTGCCCCCAGCTTTCCTATGGTCCTAACAAACACTGAAACCAGCTCCATCGAGGGCCCTCATGAACTACTTCCAGACTGAGTGCCCTGAACATAGATAACACTGAAGCCAACAGGAACTCCATCTAAGGCCAAGAACTCTGCTGTCACATCCCTTCCACAACCACCTCCTGAGCTCTTTGAATTGCAGGAGTCCACCAGAGATTTTTCCCCTCCGATCCAATAACTGCACTGTTTGTTTTTACAGATATGACAACTCCAAAATGCCCAGGAGACCAATAGCCAATTTTAGCTCACACAAAGAAACAAGAGAGAATGACTTAAACAAATAACCAAGAGCTAGAAAATGTTTCTAAGGAAAATGTAATGGAACTAAGTGAAGAAGAATTCAAAAGAATGTTAATTAAGTACCTTCAAAGAAAAAAAAAGATCAAGAAAAGCAAGGAGAACACAATAAAAACTTTTGAAGATTCAGGAAAACACTACAAGAACAAGCACACAAAATAAAATGCAAATTTTGAAATAATACAAAATCTGCAATTAGAAATCCAGAAGATTAATACTACTAAGGTCTCAGAAATGAAGACGTTGAAACAGCAAAGAAGTATTGTGAAGAAGTATTTGGGAGCCCAAATTAGTGAACTTGACAATAAATCTCTCAATACTAGTGCACTAGAAGAACAGAGAAAAGAATGGAAGGAAAAAAAAAAAAAAATGAAGAAAGCCTAGGAATTATGTGAGACACCAGGAAGAGGCACAACTTAGGAGTATTTAAAGTAAAACAAACCTGAACGACTGAAAATACGAAACAAGAGCTCTCTCTGTATAATGAAGTCAACTACAAAGCAAAAACGGGATAGTATAGATACGAAACTTCTGAATGGCAAAGAACTCGAGTAGATTTTAAGATTAAAGACTGTTCTAAGCAGGGAAAAAATTAATTACAAGGTAACCTTAAAGAAGAATAATGCACCTGTACATAAAAATAAAAAAAGAGGAAAATCAGAAAAATTTCGTAAACATTAACACAACAGAAGTGAGAAGAAAACACACAAACAAAATTAACTCAGCAGAGAAAAATCATGCAGAACAAAGAATACAGCAGTACCACACATACACAAAACACATACACACAGAAAAATAACAAGTCAATTCATACCTATTGATAATTACACTGAAAGTAAATGGATTAAATGTACCAGTCAAGTGTCTTAACAGAATGCCTAAAACAGGATCCTTCAACATACTGTCTACAAGACACATAGCAAAAAGACGATGATGATGTGAAGCACCGTTAAGTCAGTTCTGAACCATAGCGACCCTGTATAGAGTTCCCAAGGCGCAGTTGGTGAGCCTGAACTGCCGACCTTGCAGTTCAAACGGCTTTGCAGTCTGGTGCACTAACCCACAGTACCACACCAGGACTCCCCAATGCGCATCAACAGAAGAATGGTTAAACATTGGTACATACACATAATGCAATATTACAAAATATTGAAGAATAATGATGAATCTGTGAAACACTTCACAACACAGTTGAACCTGGAGGACATCATGCCAAGTGAAATCAGTCAATCACAAAAGGATAAGTATTATATGAGACCGATGTTATAAAAAAATTAAAAAAGGTTTTCTTGATAAAAGAAACAATCTACGATGATTAAGGGAGTAGGGAAAGGGAAAATTATTCATGGGCTACAGAGCAGACAATATACAACAAGAGGGAGGTTAGCAGAAGAAAGATGAAGGCAGCAGAAGACACAGAGAGGAATGCAGTAGTTAAAAGTGAATAGAGGTATATGCTATCAACTATTGTTACACTGCAGGGGAAATACAACAATTTAATGAAGCAATGTACATAAATTTGTTGAATGTAAAACTGATGATTTGCTCTGTAAACCGTCACTCAATTTACAATTTAAAAAGTACACCCACACACACATACAAAAAGAATGAGATGTTACCATGATAAGTTATGAAACTGGTAGTTGAAAAAGACTGCTAAGTTTTCTATTGTGAATCCAACAATATTGAGAATATCAGGATCTATTTGGAACCTATTCCCATCCTACTAGTGCTCTCTCAATTTGAAAAGATGGTGAGAAGAGCAGAAGAGCATAAAAATCTTAAATTCCTTGAGAGCAGACACCATTCTTCATTCATTTTTATAGCAACCAGAACAAGGTTTTTGAACATGACACATGCTCAAAGACTATTTGGTGATTACATGAATTGAAGCTTCTTTACCACTTGCAAAGGCACATCACAGGTGGTTACCACCTACCACTTTGCTTACCTGTCTGTAATCGCAAGTGAGCTTCAATATTCTGCAGTCGTTCTTCTACAGCTTGATTACCACAATCTCGAAGCATGCTATTAGGTTTATGACCTGATCCTTGTACTCCTCCTTCAGGTCTAGTCTGTGGTCCATAAGTATTCACAACTCTAGAAACTAAGTTAAGAAACTCTTGAGCTTTTGTAAATGTGCATTTCAAATGATCAGAAACTCTCTCACAAGTGTTATTGTTCTGTGCCACAGAGTTGATTATGACTCACAGTGACCTTACAGGATAGAGCAGAACTACCTCATCAACTACCCAGATCTTTTCTACCAGAGAAGGGCGGATGGGTCCAAACCACCACTGTTTCTGTTAGCTGCCATCACACCCTCAGGGCTCCTAAAAATACTTTATATTTCTTTCAGAAAGATTATCTAATCACAAACCCAGGAATAAAGAAAACAAGATTTTGTTCATTTGTTTGTTTTAAAATAAACAAATCTGAATAGAAAATTTTTTCTATTCTAATTGGCTAATAATCTAGAATAAGCTTCTGTCCATGATAAAGCTATTATGATGTGATTACTTACCCTTTACATGACTTTTAAATCCAGGGTAAGGAGTAAAAACGGCATCAGTTCTTGCACAACTATTTTCTGTGGAAAATTTATAAAATAATATACTTTGAATATATTCTTAATTTAACATGTATGAGATTTTGATAAATCTCCAATGGTTTACATTAGTAGAATGCTCATAATAAGATAATAAAAATGTAAATAATAGTAATCAAATGACACCACCTACAAGATAAAATTTAGTGGCTTTTGCTGCCCTCTCAAATTTATCATACTACCTAATAAATCTTCTGATCTAATTTTCAGATTTACATACATAAAATGTCTCAAAATTTAATGGCATTAATTGGTTTAATTTTTACTGACAACCAGTATCCCTAAAACTCATCTTGGCCTCTGGAGGAAATAATTTAAATATTATAAAGAATAATTTAATTTCAAGACAAAGACATTATTCACTTTTATCATAAAGCTCATTATCTTACTGAAATATTGTTAAATAAGTCAGCATTTTTTAATTACTTGCAGATCAAATTAGTATATATTTAATAAAGACAACAATACATTTAATAAGAGTTTATTTCAAAACTCCATATAAAAATGATCTTATACCTTTCCATGTACCTAGATTTCTAATGCTCATTTAAAAAATTCCTAGTCACAAAAGCTGTCTCCCCTTCAGTTCATCCTACCCACTTTCAAAAAATCCAATTTAAGAGATATGAAAACCTCTTACATTTTTTTTTCCCAGTTGAAAAGTACAGTGACTTTTTCAGATTAGATATCAATTAATAAGTTTAATAATTTAGTAATAAAACTTAAAACATAAGGAAAGATTGGGAAGATGATGGCATAAAACATTCCAAATCCTATAAATTACTTAAGTAACATTAAACAAAACCATGCATTTACAAAAAAATTTCCTGTAAAATTATCTTTCAATTATTTTATAAAAATGGGTAGCGGTAAAATAGATTCTGAAAGACAAGTCTTCTTTTCCCTATAGAATTTGGCTTTTTTTTTTCTTCCCAATCCACTGTTTAGATTTAGGTCAAATTGAGAGACTAAAAGAATATACTACCATATTAAAATACATTTGTATTTTTTCAGTCTAAGTTTCCTTAATAAAGTATTACCACTAATAACTCAAATTACGTGAATAAAATTCTAAATTCACTTATCCTTTATATCTAGATACCAGAATCAAAATTTTTCTTTCTTTCTTTTTTAAAGACACCTCAAAATATCTATCACGGGCTGATACATCACCATCCTCTTTTTACCATTTCATGGGACAAAGGGTTAAAAATAAGAAGCTATCATCCATTCCTGAGCTATAGTCCAAATATATAGATTAACTTGACCTATTAGTGAGAAATTCAGCATGGTATGAAGACAGTGAATGTATGAGAGCTAGTCACTCTCCTGAGCAATTCTTGCTAGCACTGTTTTGAGCCAGCAAGGAATTGAATGGGCCAAGGAATCCTGCTGAGCATTTCAATTCTTGTCAATTTCTATCCCCTGGTGGTTTATAATAATAGAGTTAGCAGGGAGAACAGAGGAATAACATTAGTGACACATGTGCTTGCTCCCGCAACAGACCCTTTCTCTCTCATGGGTTACTTACAGTTGGACAGTAGTACCTGAGATTTTGCCACTGTTGCACCTGTTCTGAAAAGCTAACAGGAAAATATACTAACTCTAAAGGTATGCATGTGTAATGTTAATAGTGGGAAAAGTTAAACTTACGCACTAACTTGAGGCTGTATTATTTTATTGTTAAGAATCAGTACAGCAATGTGATAGGAATCATCTGACAATTTGGTGTTTATATTAACTAGCCAAAATACATTAGCGAAAAATAAGGAAATCATTCATTCCAATTTTGAACACTTCTCTAAATTTTTTTCTAAGAACTTCTTGTCCTGATTATTCCTATGATGGCCAAGTAGGGTCTGTTTGACAATATTCTGTATTCTACAGCCTACCTGCAAATGCCCTATAGCATTAAATGGAGGGAAAGAAGCTGATGAAAATGTAACTATGTACTATGAAAGAAAGGAAAAAAGCCTTAAGACACATGGTCTTCCTGACAAATTGGTTTTATCGTGACATAAAACATTTCACACAGCTCAGGAGTAGTGTGCAAACTGCTCCCTCTTGAGGAGTATAAACTTTGCTAAGTTCAGTTTAGGTGCTAACATCATAGTTTCATAGTTATAGCTTGGTTCCTTCTTACTACTGAGACCAAACAACCCTGCCACTCAAGCTTTACCTTCAGTCTGTAAAGGAACTTTAAAATAATCTTATCCCTGTGGTAAACATTAGTCTTTTCACCTTAGCATTTCGTGACTTTTGTGTAATCAAAATGAAATTCATTTTTGCAATGTAGTCTATTATTCAACAGAAGAAAAATATGCTACCTGGGTTCCTAAATAAACCTGTAAACTGAATTCCGTTCATTTTATTCATTTTTAAAAAACAAATGAAAGATCAGAGCAACTTTTAAAATTGTGCTCAAAATCCTACAAAAATAACTACCAGTTACCTTGATTACAATCAATAACATTGCAAAATTCCCTGACGTTGTTTTCATTGATTTCAGCTTGCTTTCTTTCAATAAATGCAGATATTCGTCTCTCAATCTACAAATAACAAATATGCATGTTTTAACAATTCAAAAATGCTGCTTGTTTTATTTAAATGATACTCCCCCCTCAATAAAAACTTACTTCTGCTTTTCCAGCCTTTATTTGAACTACTTCTGGATCAAAATACATCTGTGTCTTTTTTACATCTCCTAAGTCATAATCTTTGTGTTTTTCTTCCTCTTGTAGGTCGCCAGCAGGAAATTTGGCATTTACTTGATTCTCATTGCCTGATTCTGTTTTTCCTATCTCTTCAACAATGGTTGCATTCTCCTCTTTAATCAGAGGCTGAAGTTTTGCTAAAAAGGGCTGAGAAGAACACAATTCCATCTGTTGGGATTTAAGCTGATCAAAATTAATGATATATTTAGCACATTTACAAAAATTCCTGCTAAGTGAAAGTAACATCTAATACCAATGACCAAATATAAGAAGTTGGCCTATCAGGACATATAAATCTGGCTCCTGTTCTCTGCTATTGTAACCACTATCATTTGCTATAAATTTGTTTTTAAAAAAGAAAATAGAAAGAAAACCTGAGGAAATTTTAAATTTTCTTTGAAGGAATCATTCTGTCACTCATCTTTTATTTTGTGCCAAATCAAAGCCTCAGCCTCTGGCACCAATGCCACTTAATTAACATGTCATTCAATGCTCCTCAGAACACTAAGGCTTAGTAGTTTTCCTCCTTAACAGGAGAGCCCGTGCTCTCACTCAGCAAAGCCCTGCATTATCACTATATCACTGGAGATTCTCCACTTGAAACTGCAGTTGGCCATAGTGAATGAGAAGAGCACAGACACAAAATATATAGGTGTTATGCAGAGCGAACACTCAGGCTTTTCCTGACATGGCAGGATAGCTTCTTGGGTCATGAAGTTAAATTAAAAAAAAAAAAGAAAACGAACAAGGAGTTTTTGTTTTTTTTAAAAAAGGACCTACCAACAACACTATCCTAAATGTACTTCTGGTGGTGGTATAGTAGTTAAGTACTCAACTGAAAGGTCAGTGGTTTGAACCCACCAGCCACAAAGCGGAGTGATGTGGCTGTCTGCTCCTGTAAAGACTTACACCTTGGAAACCCTGTGGGGGCAGTTCTATTTTGTTCTGTAGAGTCACTATGAGTGGGAAAGGACTCCACGGTAAACAGGTTTGGCTAGTTTGGGATCACAATACTGTAGTTATAGTTAGAGGCGGAGGAAAGCCCTTTTATACAAGGGGGCTTCAAAAAGTTCATGGAAAGAAGAATTAAAAGATAATGGAATTTTTCAGCAAACTTTTTGAAGTTCCCTTTTATAATGTCAATTTTGTTACTCAGTCCTCTCCCCAACTAAACACACAATTAGGCCGCACTTCAGTGCCAATAGCTCACAGTTTCTGCCCTTTAAAACTAGGGTCAACTATTACTTCTAATACGAAAGAGTTAAATTTTCCTAAAGTCAATGAAGTAAAAATGAAGTAAAGGGATGGCTAAAAATGAATGTGTAGTCCACTAATCAAAACACACCAACACTATCAATGGTCCAATTCTTTTGATCATATCTACAATTTTGCTTGCATTATTTTCAATACCAAATATTCTTCTGAAACCTTAAAAGCAGTACATTGACTAATCCAAGCAGTTCTTCCACTTATCTTTTTGACATAACACATTTTGACTAGAGATAAACTGCAAACTTAACATCAATTACAATTGCAGGGATGCTCAGTTAGAAACCAGCAAGGTCACAACATTGTTCAGATACTGAACTGAAATATTAAAAAACACAATACGACTACAAATAACTATTCCCTGTTGACTTGTGATATAAAGAAAGTTATTTACAATTGTTAAGCAAAAGAAAAATAAAATAGTGACTGGCTATTTACTAAGATGAGACATTAATGTCAGAGAAATTACTTTCTTTTTAAAAACTATGCTGAAACTATTTAATTGCAATAGACACTCCAGGATGTATCATGCTGGGATAATGCCACTTCTTGAACCACTGAAAGCACTCCATGAGCCTCCAAACTCACCCAAGGCATGGAATCATTATCATAGCATGACACACACCTGCCGTGTCTTATTGCTTAATTATAACCCACCATAGATGGAACTGTATTGAATTTCCAGTGCAAGTCTAGAATTGAATAAAAACGCATTCATTCAGTCTTCATATCCACACTGGCCTATTGGGCTGTATTCCTGTATCTGTGCTGATCACTATGTAAATTAATAGATTTGGATCCAATCTGGATGTAAGTAACCTTTTATTAATAACTCTATTCATATAATGTTAACACAGAACTGACAAATATACCAGCTTATAATTTAATCACAATTAATTTCTATTCTCAATATCAAGTTAACATGTCTAACAAGAAATTTACCTGTAAATACAAAACGTGCTGCTCAAGTGCACTAAAGAGCAATGCAGGCTGGAATGCCGAGAGGCTCTGGAGCTTGTTCCAATCGATTGTAATTTTCACCACATCATCTCTGAGGTTAAGCTTCAAAAGGACAAACCAGCAACATAACACAAATTAATGATTAAGCTGCACATGTTAGATTGTTACAAAAACAAGATTTCTACAGAATAACCCAAGGTTGTTACAAAAATAAGACTTCTATAGAATAACCCGTGCCTATTTTGCTCAGTTGTCAAGTTTTTCATCTTATATTAAAATTGTCTACCTAGTTATTATTTGTAAGACGAAGAAAGGTGTCGAGTCTCATAATAAAACAGAATGACATTTTACTTTCGGTCTACTCTAGGATCTGTGTAACAGGATCATCTTTGAGGTGAAACCATCCACAAATGATAAAGGTTATTTTCATACTTAAAATCTAAAATTCTTTTAATGTGGTCCAAGACAGGTTTGCTGTTTTCAAAACCCTACTACTTTTAACTCAGAACATTAAACAAAAGAAGCACAACTGTATTGCTAATGTTCTAATATGCACATTTCCTTGTTAGACAAATATGTACACTCATACTTTGTGACTCTGACATATCTTATGCATCACAATTTTATTGTTTTCAACTTTTATCAATTTTAAAAACTAATTTAAAATCAAGATTAGTCATTGTTATTGTTTAGTGCTGTAAAGTTGGTTCCCACTCAGCAAATTCAAAGACACAGGTTATTTATATACATTATAAGGTCTAGGGGTAGATGGCAACATGTTTATCTATTTGAAGTACAAAAACAAACTATTACTTAGTTGTGGGCATCTGAAAATAAGTAATCCTTATCCACAATAGTGAAATTAATGACCTGAGCTTAAATGGAGAATCCAGATCTTTTGTTAAATATTGTTTTCTAGTAAGGCGTGAACACTCACTATATGAAAATTTCTTATAGATTGGATAGTGTGATTTATGAGAATAAAATTATATCCAGCAAACTACCAAGAACTCAAATATAAAACTGGTATGAAATAAATAAAAATTGTAGAGTGCGTATCTGTAGTGTCTGTTGAATGACTAAGAGTGAACCACCATAAACTTTCCTAGGACATGTGTTTATCGCACACTACAAAGACTTATGCATAATGAGTATTAAATAATAAAAAATATATGAATTTATCAGAAATCACTTATTTAAAAAACTAGTTATGCATTTTATAAAATAAAGACAAGTATTACATTAGTTCAAATATAGATTTTATACGAAAAAATGAAAAAGTACTGTACAAGGAACCAAAGTGACCCAAAGTATCTGATGAAAAACACTATTCTCAAAGAAAACTGCAAGACAGAAATTGACTATTCTCTGAACAGAAGAGCAGAAGCATTTTATGCCCAGACTAGACAAGTTTACAGAACTATAAAGTTCTATGTAGGCTATACTGGCAAAAATTAATGATGCCTCCTAATTTATATTACCTTAACGCCTTTTGGAAACCCTATCCAGGGTCGCTATGGGTCGGAATTGACTCGATGGCACTTAACAACAACAACGTCTTTTAAGTTAGATAACAACTTATGGGTGGACGTATACTACTATACTTTTACAGTCCTCACAGAGATCTATAGTCAAGTACAGCAAATTTATGACTATAGTTTAGAAGAAAAAAAGCTATTCCATTCTACAAAATTATGTAAGCCTTGAGGTGCAATAAGGATCACTGGTGTTGCAAGAAAACCATATAGTAATGTCATGAATTAACTTTCAAATTATCCTAATAGATTCAACTAAATAACAATTTATTCACTTATACACTATAGGATTTGTAACAGTAAACCATTTGCTCACAAATCTCTATTAATCTGCTAATTAATCAACATAGACTATTTAAATATGTATTTTCAGTAACAACTTTATTAAATCAGTAAGAAAATCCAAGCTAACAATAATCATCCAGAAAGTAAACAATAAGTTAAAATTAGCAAAAATAATAAATTTTTCAATCTGGGTTAGTAAATACCTGTAACACTCAATTTCATGCTTCCTATTGAGAAGGGCAAATAATACAATGACATTATACATTATGAATTTAGTGATATAATGGCATATATTTTAAATACTTAAAATTTATTACAAGAGGTATCAGTGATTCCCTTGAGGATATTATGTATTACAATATCCCGGTTCTTATTCTTATCTTTAAATAATACATCCCCAAATATAAAGGCTATAATCAAAATGGTCAGCATTTAGTTGATAGTTTGTAAAAGAAGGTGACCTTGTATAGAAGATCCCTTCACTGGGTCAGATAAACTTACCAAATGTTTACTCTATTCATTTTTGACAGCTGGCATAAGTAGACTTTAATCACCTCTTTCTGTATCTGTACTGACAGAACACCTAAATATTTACCATTTTTTAAATGAGCATGAAAAATTGAGAATGCAAAAATCTTTTTAAAATTTAAAAAAAAAAAATTATTCCTCAATGATAACTTGTAAACATTGAATCAGAAACCCCTTCTGCAAATAATAGGTCACCATGAACTTTTTCCATCCTGTCATTAGAGTATAAATAAACTTCAAAGTTCCAATATCCACACCATAGAAATAAAAAGTTCTCTAACTTTCTAAAGCATTTAAGTGTCTTGGGTCTTAAGGTTAAATTTTTAATAGTAATTAATCAGAATTCCCCACGTATTTAAAACCATCTTTTGGTAAGTAAGTCCTTGGCAAGCAACCAGTTAACAGTTCTAGTCTTCTTTTAGCAGAATGGCGAATTACAAGAGCAAGTTACAGTATGCTCTTTGTAATTTACCACAAACATGCTAGAACTTAAAAATACTAAAATAACTTAAAGAAAGTCATTTCATACACCCAAAGCTTTAAAAACTAGTTTACATAAATAAATCAGACAAATACTTTATTTTCATAGGACTTTACCATTGCCATTATCTGCAACACTTGTGTCTATTTCACTACAGGCATTCATTCCCTCGTCCTCCCAACAAACTTTTATATCTACAAAGTGCTCCAGCTAAGATTTACAAAATAAACATCTTTTAAGGTTATTTTTCATTTAAAATTTGTCTTGAATTGTACACCATGAAACCAAACAGTGATTGGATCCGATATAGAGCGTGTAAAGAGCTCATTTCTTTCGACGCCAAAGCTGCTATATCTATACGCTAAAGTTATTCTCAAACAGTTGAAACTAGTTAATTGTTAACGAAGAGCTCTGAATCAGATTAACTATGGGCAGGCAACCCATCCAACTTCATGCTGTATTTTAGATTAATTAAGGGAGATGACATCCAGAAACGAAAAATTAACAAAATTAAGAGACTCCGCAGAGCAAATCAATCAAAAAGAAAGCAAAAAAGCTGCAGAGAGCGTTTTCCAGAATTACAGGCCGCACTTCCAGCCAATTTCTGTAACGAATAGTTGGAAAAGGAACAGTGAACTCAAGTCGCCTCCCAAACTCTTAGAAAAGCTTTTCCGCATACTTTCTCTCGGGGAAGCAGGTTTTTATTTACACTATCCTCACCTACTATAGGGGATGATAGTTGCAAAGAAATCTAGTTTGCAACCAGTCCCTGCAACTAAGTCCATGGGCCATCCTCCTAGCTCCGATAGCGAGCCGGGTTCCTCCCCCGGCCTCCGCTCCTCCTGCCGCGGGCAGCGTGCGGCCTCCGCGGCCCCGGGAGTTAACTGGGGAGGTGAGCAGGGAGGAGGGAGTGGGGGTTAGGGGGGAGTGGCTAGGCGATTCCCACACCTTACTTCTCTAAGGCACTACTCACCTGTCCAGCCAGGGTGCGCAGGGAGCGAAAGGTTTCGCAAAGCACCTCTCGGGAGAGGTTGGGGCTGCAGCCGCGCTCCAAGCTCCTGTCACTGCTGTTCGGGCGACTAAGCTCCGTAGCAGCAGCCATGACACCTTCGCCAGCAGCCCCCACCTCCGAGGTGAGCTCACCCCCCTTTCCTGCAGGCTTTCGCCGCTTGAATTTTACGTAAAAACGCCGCGTCTCGTTTAGAGCGTCATTTTTGAGGCTCCACCATTTCTATGTGATTGACAAGCACGGGAACCAATCAGGTGATCAGAATTGTAGCGTCGAACCTAAGAGGCTGAAATTGCAATCTGGGGGAAGCTGCATGTTGTATTTGGACTGTGATTGCTTTACAATTTGTTAAGAGTTAATGTCAGGCATAATTGGTGTCTATTCACCTGGAGCAACGGAAGATGAAGAAGTGAAGAATAAAAGAAGGATATAAAATGTGTGGCCAATTGCCTCCATTAAAAACTGCCTCCTTTGTCATGAGACTAGAAGAAGTGGATGGTGCCCAGCTACCATTACTGAACATTGTGTTCAAAGATTCCATGTAAGAATGCTGGTCAAAAGGGGGGAAATCTAGAACAAAATTTCAAATCTTCATAGTCGTTTGGAACCATGGGGGGTAGATGATCCCCTGAAACTATTTACCTGAGATAGTCTTTAAACTTTAAACCAAAAATATTCCACGAAGTCACCCTAAACCAGATTGCATTAGTTTAACTAGTCAGAAAGTTCTGCCTTGTGCATTGTAAACTTTAAAACAAACCTTATGGGATCAAATTGACTACAGCAACTCAAAAGTTTAGCTAGGAGCCTTGAGGTGGTGGTGGTGGTGGTTATGTACTGTGGAGCCGGTTCCAACTCATAGCTACCCTATGTAGGTTTGTGAGGCTGTAAATTGTTACAGGAGCAGAAAGCCTGATCTTTCTTCCTCGAAGCTGCTGCTGGATTTGAGCTTCTGATCTTGGAGCTGCTAACCTTGTGGTTAACAGCCTGAATGGGTAGTAAATTTATGTTAATGAGGGAGGGACAGCTCAGGAAAGGAAGAAGCAAATGATCACACAACTGGAAGAATGTAATCAGTCATTAAATGGTACATGCCATGCAGTCGGTTCTGACCCATAGTGGCCCTGTGTAGGGTTTCCAAGGAGGAGCTGGTAAGCTTGAAAAACTGTCAAATTGGTGTATGTTTTGCTGAGGGATATCACTGGTGATGTCCAATGGATTTTAGCTGAAAACAGAGAAGATCAGAAAGGTGTTTACCTGTGCTTTATTGACTACACAAAGGCTTTCGATTGTGTGGATGATGACAAGTTATGGACAATATTGCGAAGTATGAGTATTCCTGAACACTTAATTGTGCTCATGGGGAATTTGTACCTGGACCAAGAAGCAGTTGTTCGAACAGAACATGGGAATACTGAATGGTTTAAATTGGGAAAGGTGTGCAACAGGGTTATATTCTCTCACCATACTTATTCAACCTGTATGCCGAACAAATAATCCGAGAAGCTGGCTTATATGAAGAAAAATGTGGTATCAGTAGGGAGGAAGACTCATTAATAATCCATGATATGCAGATGATACAACTTTGCTTGCTGAAAGTGAAGAGGACTTAAAATAATTACTGATGACTATCAAAGAGTATAGCCTTCGGTATGGATTGCACCTCAATGTAAAGAAAAAAATCCTCACTACTGGACCAATAAACAACATTCTTATTACGGAGAAAAGATTGATGTCAAGGACTACATTCTTCTGATAAGCTATCAACACTCATGGAAGCAGCAGTCAAGAAATCAAACAACGTATTGCATTCACCAAATCTACCCAAGACCTTTTTAAAGTGTTGAAGAGCAAAGATGTCAGCTTGAGGACTAAGGTGCACCTGACCCAAGCCATGGTATTTTCAGTAACCTCATA